GGGCGGGGTCGCGTGGGCGGGGCTCCCTCCCGCTGAGCATCCTGGGAGTTGTAGTCCAGGCCTCCTTGGCCCCGCCTGGTTTAGGAGCGCGGATTTGTGCCACTGTGGGGAAGACCCGGCCTAGGTTTTGAAAAAGGGAAGGCTTCTCTGGGGGGCACGGTGTTGTGCAACTTCAAGGGTGGCCACGAAATGAGTGAGGGACTGTTGGAAGGAGAGTATATTTAGTTCCAACAGTTTGCCAAGCAAATTGCATATTTTATCTTACTTAATAGTTAAAAACACATCATCTTCAAAGAAGATTTTATTAATCTTGATTTTTCAGAGGGGGAAGCAGCCTCTGATATATCAGGTGCCTCTCGCAAGGTTACAGTGGCAGTGAACCGCTACTTTTACAGTGGCACCCAGGATGATGGCTCCAAAGCCATCGCCTGTCCCACAGATCAGGGAAAGATGACCTTACAGGAAAGATTGTCCTTTCACCAGGTTACTCTGTGCTTAGTGTGGTACCCAGTGTCTGTTGGATGTACTAATGGCTCAAAATAACATCATAAGTAACATTAATTATTGCCATACTTTTCTCTGTGTATTTTAGGTGAATTTACTCATTTAATGGCCACAGTTAATTTTAAAGATACTGTAAAATCCTTACTTTTATAAAAGAGAAAAATGAGTTTAAAACAAACCTGTCTAATGTCACACAGTTTAATATTTAGCAAAGGTGGGGCAAACCCAAACAGATTCTCAGCATGATGCTTTATTTTCAGAATCAAGACCAGAAGTCACTGAACTTTGGCTCTTTGGATAGGACAAGGTTATTTCTTTGGGTCTCCACCCTCTTTCACCCAGAGTGAACTGCAGTAGCCAACAGCTAGAGACCCAGATAATGTGCGGGTTGATGGTTCATCTAGACTTTTTCTGCATCTCCTTTGGTCTGAGTCCAGGGTCACTGATTATTTTTATCTAAGGGGAACATGCACGATTTCATTATTTATGACATTTTTCTGCTTGCAAGTACCTTGAATAAATGCCCCGGTTGCTTGTTTTCATTGCTTGTCTTCCTATAATGACAATTTCATCGATTTTCCTTTACATTGGATAGAGGTCATAAGCTCATGGTTCTAGGAACTTTACAATCAGTCCCTTTAAATCTTTTTCCCCATGTTTTTTTCTCTCTCACTCTCTCCCTCCCCCACACCCTCTCACTTCCTCCTTCCCTCTGTCTCTCTCTCCCTCTCCTCTTTACCCAGAGGGTCTATAGTTTGGACCGGGTCTATAGTTCAGGCTGACTTTGAACTCACTACAGAGCCCAGTCTGGCCATGAACTGGAGACAATGTTTCTGCTACAGCCTCTTGGTATATGGGACTACAGACCTGTGCCACCATGTTTCTCTTTTAGCCAGGCAGAACTGTTTATTCATGACATGTATATTGTGATAGGAGTGTTTCAGTCCAAGAACCTGCCCATCAACAATAGAATAAATACATAAATGGTAGAATATTTATACATTGGAGTAGTATATAATGTATGAACTGTAGTTGTATCCAAATTGGAACAATCTTACCATGATAATTGTTGGGTGGAGAGAAAAATGCTTTGTGTTTATGCACAGTTGTTTGTTTTGTATTGTTTTGTTTTGTTTTTAGCACACTGTATGAAATTTTTAATCCTGGGCTAAGAGCAACCCTTCATAGTTGAGTTATAACTACATAGATCATGAAAGAGCTGCAAAAAGAGTTGTGTAACTCTAGAGATATTTGAGAGGCAGGTATTTCAGGAGGAATGAGGTCCAGGACCTTAAATATATTGCAAGGTTCGAAAGGCTACAGACACCTAGTCTTATTTGGCTTTTGTTTTTATATTCAAAAATTTAATTTGAGAACTAAGTATTCTTGTATACAGAGAGCAAAGCCTTTTTTTTTTCTGTCTTTTTTCCTCTATTTCTCATTGGTAAAACAGACTTAAATTTATGTGCATAAGACAACTGTTAGCTTTCTGTTACTGTAACAAATACATGAGATAACCGACTTATAAAGAAAGGGCTTGATTTTTTGGCTCCAGATTCTGGAGACCACTACCCATAATTGATTGGCCTAGTGCTTTTAGGGTTGTGTGTAGCGCAGCAAGCAGCAAAAATAGCCTATACTCATCTTTTAGTTCCTCTGGCCTGAGGTTTGGATGCCTGGTCCTTGTTTGCTGAGTCACCTCCTTCACTAGTTTACTAGTGTCAGTAGCTACCTGCTGCACATATGGACATGACCTTCCAAGGAACATGGCTACCTCTGTGGACTCCTTTTCATTATTTATTTTTATGTGTGAACTCTTGCTCTATATTTTATTACATTCTTTCCTGATTCATGATCCAGTTTTAGGGACCATTACTACACTGAACTTCCTTGTTAAGGTCACTAACAACTTTTAATTATTCAGCTGGTTACCCAACTAATTAATTATCTACAGATTCTATGCTAAAATACAATGGTGAAGTGTATGGAAATGTACCATTTCATATATTTTTTGATAAAGGAAATAGATCATTCATGGGAAACATACAGGAAGAGCTCTTCACTCAGAATTGGGGGGTTAAATTAGTGCTGTAATGTTTAAATGATATAAATACAGACATAAGTTGTCCCTTAGAAGAGCAGGGTAGGATGAAGAGGAAAAGCAGGTGTTAGTCCAGAAGTGAGTTATTGGAGCTGAATAAAGTTCAGTTTGCCTGCAGAATGAAATTTGAGGCCAGCTGTGTCCAGTATTACTGGATGTCAGTACTACTGATGGAAATGTCAATAGAAGCAGATCATCTGTGGGCTTCTAGGTAAGCGTTAGGTGTATGGAATTCATTCTAAAACCAGCAAAGTACCATGGACATTTTTAAAGCAGAGAATAATAAGACTGTATTTTAATTTTGAAAAGAACATTCTGGGGAATAAATTTAAGATGAGCTAGCCTACTGTCATCAAACAGCTAATTGTAATCATCCAAGCAAGAAATAGTTGCAATGACATTTAAATATAAGGACACAGGTAAGTTAGAAGAAAAAGATCTATTCTTCAAAACTTAATCAGAAGGAAGTTGAAGTTAAAGAGCATTTCAGAACAAAAAACTTACCTGGGATAAAGAGAAATAATAATTATGAAAAGGGAGTATATCTCAGTGGTAGAGTATTTGTCTGAAATACACAAAGTCCTAGGTTCAATCCATAGCACCAGAAAAAAAAAATGGAAGGGTTATCAATATATTGAGAATAT